GAGGCTGCCATATCGCGCCATCGGCCCCTCTGGCCACCACCAGTAGGCAGTGGGTGAAGTGTCTTGCCCAACGACCGAGACTGTCCGAGCCGGGGCTCGAACCGGCAACTCTTGAGCCACGATTGCCACGATCTATGTGAGTGTGTGGAACGTATGAGCACCTTTAAGGTTTAACAAGAGTGGGGAACTTTTAGTGTATTTATGGCACTTATTCTGTCAGCATTCACAAACATGTTTTGTTTCAGCAGTGTAATCTTTGTACATTTGCATGTTTAACACTGGAACTACGTGGCTTTGGTTCAGCTCCACAGACTAACTGAGACGACACTCGTTCAGAGGTTTAACTAGTCCAGAAGTCTACTTCCAGTTTTGTTTGGAGCACATCTGCAATCAAAGTTTTTCACAGGTTTACTTTCTTTTTCTTTCTGTTTCCTCACTCCTTGCCTTCTGTCCCCCCCCCCCCCAGTCGTTTGCTACCTGTGTGAAGACAGTGAGGATCAATGACGAGAAGTACAGTCTGCAACTGTGTGACACTTCAGGTAAAAAATACACATAAACTGAAACAAAACAGATACTAATAGCAACAGCTGTAGCATATTTATAGTAGTAGCAGTATTTCCTGTAATGTTCTGAGCTGCTGGTGATGGATAGGATCCTATAGCAATTTGAAGTCTTGCTACACTGTCTTCAACCTTTCAATCAAAAACAAGGTGAAAATCTCCAGAAAAAAGTTCTTTATGAAATCTTTATTTTTGGGCTGCGGCACTTATGAAACACGAACAGTTATCTGGCAACAGCTGTCAATCAAAGCAGCCATGCCACTGACTTTAAGCCTCACCAGTATCTTGATGGGTGATTTAGAAAAACATTACCCACCATACAGTTTCTATGAGGGAATAAATCAGTCCATAGAGGACAAAACTGTGTTTTGTATCAGGTTGAGAATGTAATTATTTCTGCTGTAAAGTTTTAGCCCCAAGTGGACATTAAAGGAACTGCAGTGTTTCTTTTTTCACTTCACTTCATTTTTCAGCCCCGGAGATAACTGATTAAATTTGCCTTGCTTCGGTTGCACTGTTTGTTGCTGATCTTTTTCGTGTGTGTCTGCCTCTGCAGGTCAGGAGAGCTACAAAAACATACGACTCAACACGTACACTGGCACCGACGTCTTCCTTGTCTGTTTCTCTGTCGTATCGCCCTCTACCTTTGAGAACGTCACAGACAAGGTTCGTTTAGATGGTTTGTGTGTTTTATTTCTAATTTGATGCTCATGTCCTTCACTTTAATTACTTCCATAACTAAAAATATAATGAGCCAAACTCTAAGGACAAACACACACAGAGCAGAGATCGTTAGGGTTGCAGTGAAACCGCATCAAACCTTTAGCTTGTCTTTTTACAGTGGGTGCCAGAGATTTTACGCTTCTCTCCAAAGACGCCATTCCTGCTGGTTGGGACTCAGGTGGATCTGAGAGATAACAAGAACACCCTGGAACAAGCCCTGACCTTTGAGAGTGGCGAGGAACTGGCTCATGAGCTGAAGGCCGTTAAATACATGGAGTGTTCGGCTCGGTCTCAGGTACAGAGAGAGGAAAATAAGTCTGCTGGTGGGATTCTCTGTTGAGACAGAAGCCTTGGTATCTATACGTTTTGGGCAATAAGAATAAAAGAAATATGAACATCATCATTACTCACGGAGTCACAGGAAATCTTTACACTTAATAAAAAGGCATAAAAAGCCATTTGTCAAAATCTAGTGAAAGTAAAAAATAACTACAAAACATCTCAGGTTGGAGTCCTGGTTACATACTCCTGATATATCTAAAACAATCACCACCACGGGGGGTCGTGGTTTGGTCCCGCCTTCGCCATTGTGGTTGATGTGGAGGTTGGGACGGGCTTAGGGCGTCTGGAGAATCC